CACAGCATGAGGTGTCAGTGACCAGAAGTGATCTTCACAGAGCTATTTTCCTATTGTCACTTTTATGGTGACACCACCAGGTTAATGGTAAGCCACAAACTGTTTCAAATTAATAATTATCTGAAAATTAAATATTTAACCTTTCAGTTTTTTCTTGGGTAATGTGCTGCATCATTAACAGGTCTGCTATGCAAAACCAAAGTTAGGCTTTTTATTTTAACATCTACTAAGAGCAGTCTAAGCTACTAATCCTCTTCTTTAAGACCATCTGTGGACATATATCTCACTTTATGGACAATTATTACAATACAATGTTTTTGTATGTCTCATTACAGTTAGAATTTTTTTTCTAGGTAATAGCCAATAGAAATAGTGATGCACTTAGTTGCACACAACTTACACAGTTGCAGCCCAAACTGGAGTGTAACCAGTTACTTTGAAATCAAGATGCAGTTCAGGTAGCTGATGTCTGTTAAATTAAGAATAAGTAGATTTTGCAGTTGTAGCAGGTGCCTAATCTTCCTAACTTAAGAGCTGCAACTGTTCAACCTGGAAGATTTTGTAGCATCATTTCTATTAATTCCATCACTTGAATAACTGACTTCCCACATCTCAAAAAAACATATTTTTCTTCTAATCTGATCTCTTTTTTGCAATTTAAATGAATCTAATTTGAATCCAAGTTGAATCCTTGCTAAAAGCCACCATCACGACTTAAAATAATTCAGAGGAAATAAGACATGAAGGAATCAAAGAGCATATGATTCTATTATCTCCATACGTATCAGTGCAAGAATTTTCTTAGTACTATAAACAGTGCTGTAAATTTTCTGAAATCCCAGTGGTCATCATCATAGCCCTGGTCACACCCAGTTCATGCTAACATGAGCAGCATAAGCTATTTGCTCTCCCAGAGGACAGGGTTATGTCTCTCTAAACCGTGCTTTATTGGAGTTTTTTTTCTTTATTAACAGCCAGTGGAGATCTACCCAAGGTGATTTCTAATAAAGAACTGGTTTAGTGATTAACTGAACTGATAAGAAAGCATTTACAAAAACTTGAAGCTGTCTTGCAACAGAATAATTCCCACTTCCCTCCCTGTTCTGTTTGCACACTCAGCTTTCACAGCTGAACTTCTTAATTTCATTCTAAGACCATATTCTTCATAATAACCTTAACTGACTAATTTCTCACTTGCTTTTTTACTCCAATAAAATACACGTTTTTTCCTTTCTCTTT